CCCTTTCTTGTTTCTTTGTCAACGACCACATCAGTCTAACCCACAATTCTCGCATCTCCGGCTCCTACTTGTGCTCCATCTCAAGTGTTGAATGCACAAAATAAGATACAAAGAAATTTGGTAGCTAAGGGGTTTCATCAAACTCATGGCTTAAATTAATTTTAGACCTTTAGTCCCTTTGTATAACCCACAACCGATCGTTCTCAATTTGGCAGTCTCGTTCAATTGGTCTATAAGCTATAAAACAACTTAATGTGCACAATGCATTCTTAAATGGAGATCTATTAGAAGAGGAATTTATGGAGCAATGGTTTCATAGACAAGGATCATCCTTGGTTTGTTTGCAAACTACGAAAGGCTCTCTATGGTTCAAAGCAAAGTCTACGTGCATGATACACAAGGGTAAACAACTTTTTGTTGCAATGGGACTTCAAGGTATCCAAGTTTTAACACTTCAATGTTCTTTCGTGTTACAGAATATGATATTCTCATCCTACTTAATTATGTGGGTAACATTACAATAACGGTGAGCTAATAATCAAACATATTATCCATCGAAAAACTAGGCAAAAATATATTCTCTAAAGGCACCCAACAATAGTGTCATCCTTTCTTTCTTAGGTTACAAAATCAGTAACACAATTCTATTCGCAGTCCTAAATTTGGGTCCTTAGTGCATTGGTGTTTCTTTCTACTCCTTGCTTTTCATCAATCATACATAAGATTGCCTTTATGTTGGTCGGTGACAAAAGTAACCAATTTTCTAGGGCATATTCTTCTTTAAGTAATGCTTAAAAACTTTAGATTTTCTTAATTTTTCATATTCTTCTGGAGAGTCACTTGTCAATTTTAAGATTCTTGAAATGCAGTATCGAACTGACAACAGAATGCCCCAATTTTATTGTTCCCTTAGCTGTCTCCCAATGAAATCATGACATTTCACTACAATTTTGAGGTGTCAAAATTTTAGAAATGACACGTCAAAGATTGTAGTGAGGTTTAGTGGAGTTTTAGAGGTCTTCTAGCATGCTTCCAAACCCCACAATATTCCTCGGTTCCGCACTTGTCCAATGTGTCAAGTTCAAATTATAATTGACAATTTCTAAATTTATAATTTACAATTTCCTTAATCAAAATCAAGTTCTAATAAAATTGTATTAGGAGTTTATCCACTTGTAATTAAAATCAAAATAGATGTTATTGAATCCTAATTAAAGTAAAAAAGAGTTTGGTTGATAGCATAGTTCTTGAAGGAGTCCACGAAGATCACATATGATCGTTGGAATGTAATTAGAAGTCTCGAGAGTGTCAAAGAGCCACACAAGTTATGCTCCAAATTCTCTGAACTTGCAATGCATTTTGCGGATAGAAAACATTGGAATTTGAACAATGCTATTTTTAGAAGAATTGTGCCACTTTGAGTTAGATTTTCAAGGCATTTTGAATCAACTCAATCAGACATTGAGAGAGAAAGTTATGATAAAAATACTTGTGATTGCTCAGCTGCTGGTTCGCCTGTCGTTGAGCGACTGGTCGACGTTCGAGCGACTGGTCGACGTTCACAAATATATTTTGCTTCAAACACTTGGTTTTTCAATGCTTTTTCATCCCAAACATTTGTCCCTATATATATAGCATACCCCATGAACGTCCAAAAGTGTGTTGAATCATATATATTTCATAGAGATCATTCATTTGAAAATCCAAAAATATTCATTCCAAAATTCAACCACCACACATTACTTGATCCATAAATTCATTCAATTCATATTTTGTTGATAAGCCATATTGTTTCATATTAAATCACAAATCAAAACAAACAAGATCTCATTAAATCCACCGGAGATAAATCGATATTAGGGATCGAAGCTGTTGCAGAAGCACAAATTTAAGAGAACTAAGGTGAGGTACCAAGAGTCGAGATCTGATATCAGAAGCGCACAGTCCCTGCAGGCTAAAGTATAGACTAAGAGTCGGGATTTGTTGTGAATGAGCACACATTCAGTAGGATCAAGGGAGGCTGTAGGAATTGATGTCAGAAGTTTTACAAAGTAGACGGGTTTGGGCACTACTGTAAGTTTGCTTCGATTTATAGTGGATTATTGACTGCAAAGTGCCTGAAATTTTTACCCAAATGGGAATTCTCCGTGATCATTTTTGATATTCTTTATTACTTTAATTATTGATAGTGGTATTCAAATTTAGAATAAATTGACTTGTTTGATCTAATCACCTAGAGACAATTAAAAAGTGACTTGTTGCTTTTAATTATATAATTCCGCAGGTTGGATCTCTATATTTTGTAATTTAAAACTTTCACGATGATTGAAATTAAATTGTTGTTGATATAACAGTTGACATTTCCTCTTATAAAATGTTCATAACCTTAATTACTGATTTAAAGATTGGAGACTTGCCAACTCCCATTGGGGAATCAGGGCTTGGCCATCCTTAGTTTGCGATGGACGTTTTATCATAAGCATCTATACCGTAAAATCGATTTTTGTTGAACTCACTGCTGCAAAATAAATATATTTTCGTTCCATTTTCATCTCCTAAATCTGATGTGCTACAAGGAGCTAATCTTTATCATGGCTTCTAAGCTAATCCATAGGATTTTCCTCTCTAAATGGAAGTAATCTGAAGCAAAACACAGGACCCTCAATTTCAGATTAAGACATTTTATTTTTCTGGAGTACAAGTTTGATTTCTCAACTCTTAGAAGGTGAAACATATAAATTATATATAAGATAAATCTACGAAACATTTATTTAAATTTCCTCGAGATATTTTATTCGTTGCTCACATAAACGGTACAATGAAGAACATTTTCTTCCGTAGAGACGTTTAATTATGTATTTGTACGTCACTTCTTTAATTGCGTAATATCGCAATTTTAAGACTTGGTTTGTGCGCTTCCAACTACTTGAACTCCCTACTTGACAAATTAGTTTTAAGGTTGAATTCTACGTAATGTTAGCGTAAAAATTAGGATTAGAATAGACATATCCTTATATAAATTATTCTTGTTGTGGAAGCCTGGATGGGATAGAGTTGTGAATCACTACTGAAGGGAAAATGGCACAATAATGCAAGTGACCCAATGGGCTGAAATGTTGGATGCCCAGTTAGCTGAATAATTTGGTTCAAAAACATGTTAGCTGGAAAGATGAAATTGAGTTACAACTTACCTGATATTGGACGTTCTGGATGTCGCCATGTGTTGCCTCCATAGACGTTGGATTGGTGGCCATTAGGTGACCCATTTAAAGGGCTCCTAGGGTTGGATCACTGTACAATCTCGAGTTTCTCTTTGTCTCTCTCTCGTTTTTGCATCGTTTCTAGAGAATTCTCCTTGTTTACTGTAATCTTGTATGATTTCATTGAGTTGAGTGTTGGTTCTTATGTGAACCATGTTGTATTTTAAAAGAGAGATCTCATTTGTGATTCTAGGGTCGAGTCTGAGTGTCTACCCTTTGTAATCTCACTTTGGTTGTGGTTTGTACTCTGATAGTGGTTGTTCTTCAGTGATTTAAGCATTGAATGACAGATTCTTGGCCTGAGGGCTTTTATGAATAAAGATACGTGTTGCTTCTTTAGTTTCTTGTGCTATTCTTTTACAGATCACTTTGGTTTTCTATTTAGCATATCTATTTCTGGTTGATTTGTGAGCTAATCTATTTGATCTCCTCAGTCCTCCCAACAACTGCTTTCAGTAAAAGACTGATTATCGAATAAGAATATGAACCACGTGCTAGTTGAAGAGGAAAAGAATTTTTAGCTTTAAGTAATAGGCATTTCTTGTGTCACTCTTGTGTGGGGACAAGTCCACACTATCTACGGTGCTTCTGCAAATCTGATGCACTCCACACACTCAGATTCATCAACTAACTTGTACTGTAGTTTAGAATTGATTGATCACTTTCTCCATAAAACACTTCACTTTGATCAACAAAAACCATAATCTCTGGTGAATATTAAAAGCACCAAAGTAGAAGCCAAAAATATAAAGCAAGAATATGAGGAACAAAGCCAAAAAAGAAGAATATGTGAGGATACATCAACTTTCACCTTCTCTTTACCTTTCTTCCCTTGTGCTTGGGCTTATCGGCAAAACGAATCAATTTAGATAGTCCTTTGTGGCTCCAGTGGCAACTACCGCACCCCCTCAAGGGCATGATAGTACTGGCTATCGGAAATTTTATTGACAGTACTCAGAGTTCTTGGGCATGGGGTCTATTGGAAATCCAAGTCCTTGGGCACCTTATAGTTATAAGGACTGTTCACAAGGAATTTGTAGCATGTATTGCCCACAGTGGTGCTACATAGTCTTCCCTCCTCCTCCTCCTTATTTGTCAGATGATGATTCCGAGACGCCCTTTTCCCCTCTGGTTATCGCCATCATTGCCATCGTGGCAAGCGCGTTTATTCTGGTAAGTTACTATACCATTGTCACAGGATATTGCAGGCGAAGAAATAATCCAAATGCGAGTGTGGAACTGGATGAAATTCATGATGAAACGAATCGTGATCAGTGGCAGGTTACTTCAAATGGACTAGATGAAGCACTTATTAAGACTATCACAGTTTTTAAGTACACGAAAGGTGATGACCTAATTGAAGGGACTGAGTGTTCTGTTTGTCTAAGTGAATTCGAAGAAAATGAGAGTCTTCGACTACTGCCAAATTGCAGCCATGCTTTTCACCTACCCTGTATCGACACATGGTTAAAATCTCACGCGAATTGTCCTCTTTGTCGTGCCAATGTTACTTCTATGAATGCAGTACCTCTGTTTACACCAAGTTCTCAAGATTCACCAGCTGTCGACATAGCATCTCTTGAAATTCAAGGCTTGGATGATTTAATCACGGTGGTTGATGATCATGATTGTGATCAAGAAAGTAATCATCATGATGAGGTGGTTGTTAACCTCAGTAATGATGATACTCGACCAAAGAGCTCCCGTCAAGATAATACTAATGCAGAGGATTCCGAAACAAGAAATAGTGACATTGCCAGTACTACTGATCCTAAAGACGTTAAAAAATTTACAAGATCAAATTCTTTAGGTACATTCTCGACTCAAAACGAGCTTTCAATTGCTGAAATTGTGCGAATCGAAGAAGAGATACAGATGATGAAATGTCAATCTTGGAAGGAAACTGGTTCCTCGAGGATTTTCGGGAAAAGATAACAAGTCAAATAATAGTTCAGTTGCAATGTAAAGATCCATTTCCATAGGCAGATGCATGTGCACAAATCCTTCATTGAATATATATCTTCTATAGGGAATAACTTTGTGTAAATTTTCAAGATTTACCTACATAAATGAAAATAATGAGCTGATTGTTCCTTTTTACAGAAATGAAGAAAAGTTTTAGTATAGCATCAAAAGAGAATTGAATGAACAAAATTAGTGATTTAAATTGACTTCTTTCTCTATCCATCCTACCCTCCCGTCGAGCCCAAACAACAACGGTACTGACCGGGATGTCATGTAGAGTGAGCGTCGTGATCCTTTAACCATATTTGACAAGGTGGATGAACAACCCTCAACAGTAATAAGAAAAAAATACAAAAATAAATTATATTTTCTAGTACCGTTTAATATTGCTTATCCGACATGTCTATTTTGATAGGTTACGTGTTAGGTGGGTTATTTTTGTGAAATGCGACATGATTATTGTGAAAGTTTAACCTAGTTTAGGATTTGGAAAGCGATTTCTTGAGTTAGTTTTAAGCTTAAGATTATGGTGTGATTTCTTCATCTCTTGCTCTCTTATCCATTCCAATCAATAGGTGCAATCAGGTAGAAAGTCCAAATCATGTAACAAAAGAAGCCAAGATTCATTCTAGAAGGTCTAATCATGTAACATTTGGTGAAATTGTAATATATTATGACCAATTATAATCTAATATTTTTTTAAATTGAAATTTTTTTATATTACGTAAATTAGTTATGGTAAAAATTTCACGACATATATACTTTTTTGACAGAATGAAATGTACACTTACATTATCAACATACAAATTAGTAAAATTTGCATTCACGTCATTTTGTACGAGATACGCAGTCTAAAACTCTTTTACATCCCGATTTTAGAGTGTTCTAGGCTTGCAAGAAAAAATGATGTAATATAGTTCCAATTGCCAAACCTTATATACATCATTTTCATTATTCTAAATGCAATCAAATAAAAGAATATTGAAAATTAAAATAGAGAAATATGTTTTTTGAAAATCCACATCCACAAGTTAAAAATGAAGGTAAGCTATTTTTAGAATACCACTACTTTGTGAATTTTCCTTCCTTACCGGATACCCGTCCCGAACCCTAATCTTGAGGATGGAAATTAAAAACTTGTTTGGCACAAAAAGAAATTCAAGGGAAGAATGATTTTTTTTTTTTTAGAATGTGTACTTTAAACATGAGAAAAAGATTTGGATCCTACGGAATGTGTAAGTGAAAATGAGTTTTGAAAAAAAATAATGGACAAACAAACCTTAAATTTTTTACCCCCAAGACAAGGAGGACTGTGTTAACATTTTTTTCTTGTTTGGTTATTAATAAGGTTTATACTAATCATCACCTCTAAAATACTAAGGATGATTAGTACAAAAAGCTAGCAACTTTAGATGCATAAATTTAAATAAAAATAAAAATAAATAAATAAATGGAAAAAGTAGGAGTTGTCAAAGTACAAAGTTTATATATTATAAAATTTTATGTATTTAGCTCCTGTTTGATTCACATTATTTTTTTCATTCTCATTCTTGTACTAATTTTCAACCACGCATTCTTTAATAAAATAATATTTTTCATTACATCAATAACATTTCCTTCTTGTCAACCACGTATTGTCTAGCACATCACTTTAAAAAAATGCATTCTTTCATTTTAATGTACATCAAACGGGCTCTTAGTTCCTGTTTGGTAAAAATTAAAATCCAAATTTTAGTCAAAGTCAACAACTAGTTTTAATAAAATTTAATCCCAAAACTTTTCGACCACATATTTCATCAACTTTTATCAAAATTTACTAAAAAACTGATTTTAATCTTCATTATATAGAGGCGTAATCGATTATTATTTTATATTTCCATTGGACCCTAAAGATTTTAAATAAAATTATAATTTTATGCATTTAGAGCCCTTTTGGTGCACATTAAAATGAGAGAATGCATTTTTTTGAAATGATGTGATGGAGAATATGTGGTTGAAAAAGAAGGAAAAGTTATTGATGTGATGGAAAATATTATTTTATTGAAGAACGTGTGGTTGAAAATGAGTATAAGAATGAGAAAGAAAAAAAAAAAAAATAATGTAGGTCAAACAGGGGCTTAATGAGATTAAGGCTCGAGTTTAAGACTCAAAATTTTAACTTATTTAAAAGAATTTATTTAAATGTGAAATGGTGTGATTAATTGTCACCGAACACCTTTTAGTAGCTCGATCCCCAACGTAAGGTCTTTGTAAGAGAGCTACTATTTGTACCGGGGAGGGGGGTATACAACCCCCCTGACCGACCCCCTCACAATAGGGGGGCCCACTTGTGAGGGGGCCGGTCAGGAGGATTGTATACCCCTCGGTACAAGAAGAATAATTCTCTTTGTAAATGATTTTACTCCTTGTACCGGGGGGTGTACAACCTCAATTTTGTGGGCTCCCCCTCATGTGAGGGGGCCGGTAGGGGGGGTTGTACACCCCCCGGTACGAATAGTGCGGTCCCTTTGTAGAAACTTCGTCACCAATATCTTATTTTTTAAGTTATGCAATTCTTAGCTTTTCAAAAATTTAGATGGTTTTTGGGCCGCTTGGAATAGTTTTTGAAAAATAAAAAATGAGCTTTTAAGACTCAAAAGTTGCTTCTAATTCTACTTGACTAATTTCATGAAAGTATTTTTGATAGTTATAAGAGTTTTTAGAGAAAGTTGATCCAACGTGACTTCCTCTAAAAGTACATTTGAAATATGAAATGCTTTTATTAATTTTCAAACAAAAATTAAGATAGTTTTCTTCAAAAGTTGCAGTGTAAAAGTAAAAACAAAAATCATGTCAAACGGTGTATTATGCTGAATAGTTTAATATTTATTAAAAGATAGATAAATTAAAATAGGGGAAATTACAAAAAAATGTCCACTTTCACATAATCATTTGTAAAAATGTCCAAAATTTGTTCAATGTTCATTTTGCGATATTTTAGACCAAAATTCTCTTGCTAATAATTTATAATTCCACACTAAAGACAAAGGCATACAAATATTTTGTTGGCCAATAAAATTTTAACACATAACTTACTCTACTTATTTTGAAAGTACACACATCAAATCACAATAAAGACTATATTTTTCATTGATACAGATATAAAATGCAGAGAACTCTCATATTGGAATGAAATCTCATTCTAAATAAATGACGTATCAAGATAAATATGGTTCAAATACCGATAATAACTTTTAAAATATCGAGAATGTCATTTTAATGTAGAATAATTCCTTTAGTACAAAATTTATTGACATAGTTTTTACAGAAATTTGAAATTTATGAATCTTGTCCCTCAATCTGTGTTTTCCTTCCTCACTTGATTGAATCCCTTCCCTTCAATTCAAATTCTTGTGCGATTTCTGTGAGTATTTCTTGTACTCATAGTAGTACTCTTTAATGTAGCTTCTCATGTAAGCTATTTCTTTTTTCTAGAAATTCGTGACAAATTTAAAAAAAAATCTACTTTATTTTTCATTGAAAGTATAATAGACAACTATTTTTGCAAGAGGTATCAAAATTAATCGACAAGAATGGAGTTAACGACAAGAATGGCTAATTCCATTTTTGTAAATTTCCCGTTAAAATAAAAGAGAAAAAAGGGCAGGAAAAAGCCGTTGAAGCCCGTCCCTCCGTGTACACCCCCACTCCGGCGCAGCCACGCCGATCGTTTCACGTCAACCAATTTTCCTTCATCTACTTTTCTTTAATCAAGAACATATGAACTTTCTTCTTCTGCTTCATTATCAGCCAATTTTTAATGCAGTCATGCAGATACACTATCATCGAGTGCGAGACTGCTTCTGCTAATGAGAAGGCGCAAGTGGTGAATAGTGTTTTCCAGTTCGTCGTGGACATTTTGTTATTGAGGGAGAACTTGATTTCAAGAAAATTTGAAATGTGCTTCGTTACAGGTTCGTGTCTATGGGTGTTTGACATGTATTTTAATTTATGATTCACGGTTTATTGGTTTCTAGAATTTTCATGGTTTTAAAGAGCAAATAGCCAGGAAAATATGAAAGGAAAAATGTTAATTGTGCCGATATTGTTTTCATTGTTGTGCACTCTTCTACACGTTTATATACAAAAAGCACAAGGAAGTATTCCTAACCAAGAAATCTACATCAATAAGCCTATACAAAAAAAATAGAGTGACTTGATGCGGGAATTAAGGGTTGGTATAAGGTTTTTCTTCAATATGAGAGTGAATTGTGATTCTATCCTAATGTTCTCGCAGAAGAAGGTGCTTCCATCTGAAATGTTGACCTTGGGACAAAAAAAAGTGCGAAGAAATGGGTTTGGCCAAATGCAGCTTGGTGAGGTCGCCAGCAGAGACATGGGTGACTTTAAGAGAGTTATTTGTAACTTTGTCGTGGACATGGACAAAGTAATAGTAGTCTGTGGCATGTTTCATCTAGGAGTAGAATACAGGGTTGGCACAAAGGTAGGTAGCATCGAGATGTCAAAAATCCATCGAGATGGTTTCAGGAGTGGGATGTCGAGTTTAGTCGAAATGTTAAGACAGAGAGCATTGGTTCATTCATGTATTGAGGTAGCTCTTTAACTGAAGAAGCTATGTGCGGGGCAGCGTAGGATAGCTATTGAATGCCCCCAACAGGAAATGGGTGGCCTCCAAAATAGATTGTGGAGGTGGAGAGTACTGTGGCATGCTTGTATGGACCACGTGTTACATGCAATTTTAGGTCGTTGAAGGAGTTGACAGTTATTTTTGTGTTGGGACAAGAAACGCTGGCAAAATGACTGTCTTGCTGGGAATGCTTTGATGGTTATAAAGTATAAATATGCTTTTAATGCTATTTGGAGCATGTTTGTTTCCGATTAAAATCCAATTAAAATTGAAAATATGGCCGTTATTGGGTCTCACCCGTCTAATAAAAATCAACAATAACGACTAGTTTTTCAATTTTAATCCGATTTTAATCTCTACCGAACAAGCCCTTGGTGCCTTAGATGCCTTTACGTTCATGTTCTTTAAGTTCATGAGCTGGACCATGACGGACAGGCTCAAAAAAGTTCAACTATAACACCAGAACTTTGTTGCTAAAGCTAAAAGATTCATTTATTAAAATTGTGCATGTGTTAGTCCTTTTAATGGGAAATATGTATCTAGCCTACACATGAGGGCATGATGAAGACAATTTAAATGATATACACATGACCCCTCTAATAATTTAAGTTTTTAGATCAAATGGTACAACATATTCCTATTTTGACATTATATTGATTGGGTATGTTTGGCCTATTATATTTTTTTTATAGATAGATTTTGAGTTAAATGAATGGCTATGGGTAGAAAATAAAGAATTCCTTGTGCTTTACTGGCTAGTAAAATGACAATGTGGTGTGTACTGTTTATTGAGGTTAAAAGAAAAAAACTCATACCTTCAAGCTCATGCTTCAAGAGAGATTCACATGCAGTTCTTTCAAGCATGGAAATTTAAGAGAGAATCATTTATTTTAAGAATTCCAAGAATTATAGGGTATATACAACTTTATAGTTGTATTAAGATATGCCAAACAAGGCATTAAGTAAAATTTTTCATTTTTATCTTTTATATGCATTCTTCAAGTTATGACAAAACTTGAGTGCTAGGCATTTTTCTATAATTATATTCATGTCAATATGAAAGAAAGGTAAATCAAACTGCCAGTATCATCCTTAGAGTGCACCTGGACAAAACTCCTTGTTCTTTACAACCAAACTCTTGTACCAACTCATGAATTTCGCTATGAACTCTGTGGAAAAATGCAGAAAGTGAATCATGTAGCACACTTAAATATTGAACAATTATGATTACATTTTATGCACATAAAATAAGATCATGTATGAGCACGCAAATTCTGTGACTAAGTGATTGTGACGCTCAACTTTTTTTTTCCCTTTCTCATGATATATTAGTCAGTTAGGTAATGGCAATTTCTATGCATTTATGTGTCAAGTAAAAGCATAGGTTCTCTGCAAGCTGAAGAGTAAGAGTAACATGTATACAAGAACCTGCTAACAAATGAACAAAACACTGAACTATTTAATAGAAGTCTCAGTTTTACAGATAGAATAGCAGCGAAGTTATTGCTTATTACAGTAGCATCCGAGGTAAATGCATGAAGGATGTAATATGGGATATTATGATATGCCAGAACAGACATAAAATTCTCATCACTTCTTGAATTTCTTTCTTATCATTTTATTCTTCTTTGCCTCACTTATAGGTGGCAACAAACACTTGCACCCATCTACCTGAATGATTTCTTTGTTCCTAAAAAATACTGATTCCTTGAACCCAAATTAATTTTTCTTGAGCACACAATCTTAGCAAAATACATCCCAATTTCGCAAAACCATTCTTTTATTTTTCATTTCCTGCTATAGTTAACGTTGATCAAGTTGAAAAGGACCATACTTTTAGGTGACCTTCTGTTTTAATGTAGTAGGCAGAAATATGTCCCTCTTTATAGCTCGTGAAATGGTAATATTAGGTATTACCAAAAATCGAGATCGTAGCAATAACTAGAGACGCTTAGATACTTCGATGTTTTGGAGTGCTTGGTATTTTGATGTTTACATTAGTTACTAAATACTGTACATAGTTTGATGTTCAGATGGATGATTTTGGACGACAGGCTGATCTGAAGCCACTTAGAAGCCTGCAACATTTCTGGTCTTTAATCAGACATGTTTTAGCATTTTGTCAAACCTTTCAGAATCAAGATTTTGAATGCAAGTACTTTGCATCCTTCCTTGAATGAATCCTGGAGAATTTTCGTGTCAAGTTAAACTTAAGTATTGTCCAAGTCCTTTTGTCTTTTATATGCTTGAAACATTATCCAAATCTTTACTTGTAATTAATTTCTGACCTTTATACGTGTAAATTGGTAAAAGATAGAAATAAATTCTTTTCTGATCATGTGATTTTGTATCATTAGTACTGTTCTTACCTTCAATCCTCATAAATTGTTCCACATTCTTTCGAGAATCAGTTTGTATTTTAATAAGTTCTGCTCGTTGATCCCATGCGCATGCAGTCGCCATGAGCTTCTTAGCTTCATGATTTCTCTGGTCAAAATGAAAATGGTTACTTCTCGTGCTATGTTTTTTTATGTTTCGGGAAAAAAAATAATCCTTGGAATGTGAAATAAATCATTTGATTTGCTGGAATTCATACATTGTATTTATTACAAAAATTGTCAAATAGCGGCTGCAAGTACTCATCAAGATATTTCTTCACAAGGGTCTGCACAAGAGAGAATTAGTTAATATAAAATTTAATTACTAAGGGAAAACAAAGGACTATGATTCTCTTACTTTGAATATGAACTCAGGAGCTACAGCATACTCTATTAGATTTTGTAGTTCTCCTCGGATATTATATAGCCTATGGAAGTAAATGATTTTCACTGTTAGATCTGTGCTGGGTGTAGCATTTTGAATCAATAGTTGATTAGAGCATGTTTTGGCTATGCTTAAAAGTCAAACTTACTTTGAGTAAAATTATGTTACCAAACATGTTAAGATGTGTTACTTTTTTTAAATTTGTAGAAAAAGTTGACTTATTTGGACATTAAGATAGGAATTATTGAGTTACTTTCAAAATAATTTGTTTTCAAATTTAATCAACGAAAAAATTATTTATTTTAAAATTTATCAACTTGTATGTTAATTTTTTTTAACTTAGAACAACATGCACATATATAAAATTAATGAGACTGATATTTTCCAAGTCTTAGAATCACAAAGCTTTAGAATTGACACATACAGCTTTGGGGTTTGCTCTTGCATTATCTTTATAGCAAGATTTGCAATTTTATCTTCCCACCCATTCTTGATAGCTTGATCTTCAGTCAAGCATGAACTGAAACCACATCATCAAATAAATAAGGTAAGGGGATAATTTTGACCATGAAAAACAGAACATGGACTTCAAGTATACACAAATGAAAAATGGATGTGTAAGTAGATGAGCGTTACTTGAAGTGCCAGGTAGCTTCAAATGAGCGGATGGCTTGTCTCAGGTTATTGTTGGAGTTGTTAGCAAACTTAACCGCCAACTGGTTAGGTAAATGTATTCCTTCTTGTGTTGCAATTAATTCCAAAACTTCTACAATCTGGAAAAGAGAGAATTAAAAGTGAAGGTAAGAGCTAAGAGACTAGTAAGTTGAAGGTAAGTGTGTGCTGAATTTGAGACATAAAGGGGTTATTTGGTACATCATGCTATATACGACTAGACATTATAATAAAGAAGATTTTAGCTTCTTTTCTTTTACTTATATTATCCAGTATTGTTCAATCTACCTTACCAAATATCCCTAAAGAGTATGAGCATTCTACCTCTTCAATAGAAGGTGGGAGGAGTTGAACAACAGTGCAGAGTGACTTTACAGGCTCCAGCCTTGAGAGATCACTGCAGCAAAAGAATACTTTGTTACTCCCCTTAAACCTCTCTAATATCCACTTGATATATGTCAGGGTATCAGTAGATATCTTGTCTGCCTCATATAGAATGATTGCTGCATAGATTATATGGACGAAATAATTTGTCATTTTCTCAGGATTTTTTCAAGTAAAAATAGTCTTTCTTAAAAGAGTATTTCACACGTGTTACCTCTGCAGTCCCCGTGATCTCCCTGCAAAGCTTTGTTGGACAACTTGGTACTTCTCTCTTTAATAAGTTCAAAAAGGATGTGCTTCTCGTAACCTTTTAGTTCAGAGAGATTGACTTCAATGTGTTGTTGTGACACCATTATATTTACCAGGACACTGCCCACTCCTTCTCCCTGTGATGAATATGCCATCAATATTTATCAAATTCATATGTGTGTTGAGAAATTGGAGTCTTGCCAAGCATTTTGGATGTTGTCTTCTTCTGTCTTATTTTAAATCTAGGCAGGTCTACTCAGTGAGAAGTATGTGCAATTTGGGTAGATTTTAAGAGCAGCAAGCACATTTTGGGGGGTATACAAGCTCTGGTGGAATCTCATGATGAGTTTCAAGCGGTTGAATCTTTATGAATATGGACTCTGCTATTTGCTTTGAAAGCTCATTACGTTCTCACACAAAATCGAAATTGTTAACCAGCAAAATGCTATTTCTCCTGTTGACTAGTAACTGAGGTAATGGACAAAGATATTGACTTTTTTATTCTGTTGTGAATTTATATTCTCTGAGCAATATAACTCCGAATGTCACTGTGGTAGCCTTCTCATTTTCTTACCATGTGCTTCTTCTGATAGTTGCTGGTCTAATTCTATTTACAGACTGACAAAGAAAAGAAAGAAGTAATGATTCACAATGAAAAGCTCTCATGTTTTTACATGCCATTTATGTATAAATATGGAGAAGAGAATATAATGTAGTTTCTTCTGGTTTATGGGAATCCATGCACTTAATTATGATAATACAAACATGGAGTATACCTTCAAATAAAATTCCTTGCACTCCTCCCTTGCCTGTTGATAATAAATAAAATTTTATCAGTAACTATAAAATTATATGTGGAAAGTGTTGCTTGGACATCAATCTGGGATATTCAAAGAATTTTACTTTTTACAGCACCTGAAGACACTATCGTTTACAAAGTTTCATTCCGGTACGATAAGATTATGTAATATACAATATCAGTGTATACAATTATAAAAGTGGGAAGGACTACTGTCTGTGACACACAATAATGCCCATATCAATATTGCACCAGTTATTATTCAAGGGAAATGCATATGTGGTTATAACGTAACTTTAAGACTTTCTTCTATACATTTTCTATGTTAATGAAGAGAAACTTGATTTTAGCTACCTAATTTTGAGTTCTATAACAGAATAATTGACAAATTTGACCTTGTGTTGATGGTTTTCTATGGAATAGTGTGGAAGAATGGTATAGTGAGTATTTGGTGTTGGCTAGAATTTAATGGTTGATGGTACATGCACGAAGATAAGTAGAAATTGTAATTGTTTAGGAAGAAAAAGTGGGATATAAGATGAAGGCGAAGGCTTGTATTTTACTTGATTAGCTTGTTTTCAACTTGTCAATTTAGCTAGTTATTTAGAGGCATACAACCAACTGAACCTTTAGATATAAAAAAAGCTCTATAGCCGATTTACTTTTTACAACTTATGGATGATAAATATTGTTAAGAATTCACTTTATGCTAGAAATTTTCAACACTTCCATCAATCCTGAATTTGATTTCTGTTTGATGCATATTATTTCTGCGTACACGATAATCAAGATAGCTATATTATTCGTCTATTGTTTGTAGAATTCACCTGTACGTTGTCCACTCCAAAGGCTTCTCTAAGCAAAGCCCAAATCATAGTTTTCTTTCCCACTCCTGGCAGTCCTTCAAAAATGAAGTGGCCGCATTCTTCTGTTTTAACCTGATTGCAAAAATAACACCGTAAGAACCCTTTTTGTAGTAGTGGAAAAAGGTCAAAGACACGAGAAATGACAAAATTTACTTACCATATCTTGTAGCCAAAGTGCTGTTCTTCGATTGCATAGAAAATCTTTTAAATAAAAGGGCCTATATTTGTCGGCCCATACATATTTTCTATCATTTCCTGTTCTCTTCGTTTCCTCATTTTTTAAAACGATATCTTCAGTTGCTGGAGTTTGAGCTGCTCCCGCAGGTGATGCTTGTGCAAGCGTTGGTGGTAGTTGTATTGGTGGAGACAGTGGAAAAATCTGGTCTTGTGTAATTTGTGATGATATTTGTGGTGGGTAATCTTCAGTTGCTGGAGTTTGAGCTGCTGCCGTAGGTGGTGTTTGTGCAAGTGGTGTTAGTAGTTGTAGTGATGGAGATGGTGGCAAAAGCACGTCTCGTATAGTTAGTGATGATATTTTCGGCGGTGAAGTTGGCGACAGAATGGTGGGTGGTAGTTCTTGTTCTCTCTCATTCAAGGGCTTCTTATTTGATAAGTCAGTAGTATCTTCATTCCTTTGGGCGGTCAAACTGATTTTCTTCCGCTCCAATTCTGAATCATTCGTCTTTTTTTTTGTTCTAATCTTTGCCATTATCATGCCCGTAGCAGTTTCTTTCGAGGATGTTGAATCTGAAGTCACAGCATGAGTGTGTCCTTTGCTCTTACTCCAGAAAGAACTCGATGATGATGATTTTTCACGGTTTTTCCCAGTATAGCTAGAAGAACTCCCTTTTTGCACCTTGACAACAAAACTTGATTTGGAAGCAGAACTGACAACAGTAGCCGCATGGCTTTCTCTTCCAGGACTGGATCCTGACCGCTTTCCTCTATTGATATCAAGTGAAAAATCTGTTACGCCCTTGTAATAAGGGCTGCATGTAGAGTACCTTGTCTCAAGAATTGCGTTTCGGCTATTAAACTCTTGGAGATTCTCTTCAGTCAGCCCTATATTCTTGGACGATGAACTGCCTTTTCTCTTGATAAAGTCGCTGACTTGCTTTGGCCAGGCCGTTGCCAGGGAGCCAGCCGAGAGCACGGGCTTGTGCACACCGGAGTGCAACAATGAGTGTGAACGTGTAGAGACATCAGGAGCAGAATTGGAACGCGAAATCGGAGGGCTCGGCATTGAAAAACCAAAAATCATCAGTTAATGATCTTGATCTTTTCTATGCCAGCAGAAGAAAATTACGAAGGATGCATCATATTCGTAGGATATGTCTGTAATGTCATGTCAAAAGTGTGTTCTTGCGGAAGTTACTAAGATGGGCATATGAAAATATTTGACGTTGTATTCAATGATGTTGCAATTTTTTGAGGGCCAATTGATTTCACATTATGGATACAATTTTTATATTGCAGGCTGTCTTCTGTACTGACTTCAACAATTAGTTTCTTTATGTCAAGATTTGTTCGAAAATCTATGCCAGTTGTCAAGATTTTGAGACTTTGGTTCCTCATTTGTTATACAATTGTTTACTGATTTCTTAGGTGGTCTATATTGAATTATTATATGCTATTAACCTCTCAGTAATTTTAAAAATTGATTAGGTTTAGTCTTCATTGTAGCTTTATTTGATAGGAACCATTTGTACTATTTAATCATATAATTAAATTGATAATAATATATTTCATTATCAACATTGCTGTCACAACTTGATTAAACTACTCGAGGATGTACCAAGAATAGTCCTTTTATGCTAGACTTTTCCCAACTGCCGATTCCTTTACTAAAATATGTTGATTAAGAGACAAATAGTTGATTGTATCATTCTTGAAACCATGTAATGATTATGATGATTTTTAATAAATAATTGTACTACATGTACATAATGATTTATGTAATGGTTTACATACACATAATATGTTGAGATATGATTGAGTCTGAATTTCTTCAACAAAATGAAAAAAAAATCATCTCATTTTGACACATTGCCTGTATGTAAACTATTATGTATAAGTATCATTATTCTTTAAGAAAACGATTTTGCTATATGTACATAATGATTTATATAATGGTTTACATTACACCCTGTTAACTATGTGCAAATGTGTTATTAGTAAACTCATCCCAAGATACAATAGAGCGCGGTTAAACTGTCAAATTATATGCCAAAACAGAGTGATAATTGTGGGTTTATCCTTCTGTACATTATGAAGTGAACCATTTGCCTATCATCATCAATTGTCTACTGTAAATATATAGAGTTATCTATCAAGTGTTCAGTATCATATAAATTGTGTTTCATTTTATCAAGCAACATATATATTTCTTTCGACTTTAAGTGTGTTTTATCCCCACGACGAAATTCATAAACAACGCCATCCAATTCAATTGAGCTGCATCCAGGGTTTTTCTTCATTTTACCTCTTTTCATTCTTTTCCTCAGCTGAAATGCGTCACTCCATTTCTTTTCAGCCGCGTAAATGTTTGACATGAGTACGTATGCACCATCTTCTTCAGGTTCTAACTTTACAAACTTTTCCATTACTCTTTCTGCAAGGTCAAGTTTCCCATGGATCCTGCAAGCTCCAAGCAATGATCCCCAAATCAGCACATCAGGCTTGATAGGCATGTTTTCGACAAACTCAGCAGCCTCATTTATCAACCCTGCTCGACCCAAAAGGTCGACCATGCAGCCATAGTGCTCGGTTTGAGGTTTTGTGTTATACAACTTAGACATTTCTGCAAAATGCCTATGGCCTTCGTCCACAAGTCCTGCATGACAGCATGCTGTCAGAACGCCAATGAATGTCACCTTGTTCGGCTGTATGCCGAGTTCACACATCTCAGAGAACAGCTTAAGCGCTGTTTCCCCTTTCCCGTGCATGGCTAACCCTCCGATGATAGTGGTATATGTATAAACATCTTTACGATTGATATCTTCAAATACCTCAAGGGCGTCATCTATGCTTCCACACTTCGCATACATATCGATAAGAGCATTGCCAATAAACCCGTCCACTTCAATTCGATTTTTATCCACATAAGCATGAATCCACTTCCCCAATTCAAGTACCCCGAGATTCGCACATGAATTGAGTACACCGACTAAAGTAACCTCGTCTGGCTCAATTCCTTTTCTTTGCATTTTGCGGAACACCCTCAAGGCTTCTTCATAATCCCCACTCTCTGCCAGCCCCAAAATAATAGAATTCCAAGAAACCACATTTCTCACTGGCATCTGATTAAAAACCTTGTGAGCAGATTCGATATCACCGCATTTCAAATACATATCCACCATTGAGTTCCCAACATAAACATCAACATTTACCCCTTGATTGCATATATACTCATGCAGCTTCCTCCCCAAGCTCAAATCCCCCAATTTAGCACACGCAGAAATCACGACAGCCATCATTTTCTCATCGGCTCGATAATCTGCTTCACACATATCAAAGAACACCTTAACCCCTTCCTGCCATAACCCATTATCCACGTACCCTTGAATCAAAGTAGTCCAGGAAACCAAGTCCCAGTGAGGACTTTTATCAAACACCTTTCTAACATCCTCAATTCTCCCACAAACCGCATATAACCGCATCAACGTGTTGACCACATACAAATCCATCACATACCCATTTTTAATCACATGGGCATGCACCATTTCCCCTTCTCTCAGCGCGCACAACTGGGCACACGCTTTGAGAACAAAAGGGTACGTGTAATTATCACCAAACAAGCCTTTTTCAACCAATTCGCAATGCAAAACCAATGCAATTGAAGAACTCTTCTTACTCCTTGAACCTGAAAGGTATTTAATAATATCGTTATACACGGATATATCCGGGACAGGCAATCGCACTAAAAGGGTATAAATGTAGCTGAAATCTGTAAATTGTAATATGGAAGCAGATAAAGATATGATTTTTGTGTACAAAATTTGTTGGGTACGGAGTGATGGCCTTGTTTTGATAATTAAAGTATGGNAAATTTGTTGGGTACGGAGTGATGGCCTTGTTTTGATAATTAAAGTATGGATTTGTTTGAGTTCTTTAATGGATTTGCAGGAGTTTAGTTTATGGAAAAATGAGAAATCTTGGGAATTATTAGAGTACTGGGTGTGCAAGTGTGTGAAACTTGACGCAGAAACATTACTTATCATCATCACGTGAAGAATTTTCAAGTAAAATGATGGCAATGGAATATAAGCCTATGCAATAGGCATTGCAACACTTTTTTTTTATTAACTTGTAAATTAATTTCTCAAACTAATTGCATCAAAATATGAGAAACATTAAAAGTAACTTATAATATATTTTTCAAAATTTAACATCAAAACTATTATACTTATCCGCCATTCATTTCTTTCGTATTATCATTTTTAGTAACATATAATCTATTATTCAACGATAATAAATATATATTTGTAAATTACTTAATTGTTTTCAACTAAACATGTCATTTCATTTGTACATCATAAACTATCACCCATTTTCGACGTTACTATTGTTTCATTCTTGCAATGATACGTATATACAGTTATATAGAGAGAGATTTTTGAATAGATGCATCTCAAATCAACAAAAAAAATGGGGAAAAAAATAGAAAAGAGATATTCTTTGTGAATAATGGATGGTGGAAAAGGAGACATTAGGTTTCCTTTAACCTCTTCCCTTCTCTGCCTATGTGTAATAATTGGTAGAACTTTTCTTCTCTACGTTTTCTTGCCAAACATTTCCCAGCCTTGGTTTCCCATTGTGGCTTTGATCTTGATTGGCTCCCATGGATATTTTGGTTCCTAACCTACCTCTACACTTGCATGAAAGCTTAATATTTCTGCGGCAACGATGGTCTTACCTAGAGGCGGTACCATGGATTGATGAGGACAGTTGTGATGGAGAGGAGTGCATCCATTGGTGCCCATACCAGAGTATTTCTCAAAGCTATGGTAAACACAAACATCTTGGCGTGGTTGTAAAGGAATGTGAGGATAGTCGAGTCCATGAGAGCCACCGGGGGGGGGATTCATCGACCACGTCGTCCCAAGAATGTAAGATGCCGTTGACTTCCCTTTACATCTTGACAATAGGAGAAATGGATAAGTACCTAACTCTCGAAATAAATCTCCAAACTAGTGTTCTAAAAAGTGGCACCTAAGCGCAAAGCAAGCACAAAATGCCTTGCTCGCGCTTTCTTTTTTCTTTTTTTTTGCTTTTTATTTTTTATTTTTTTTTCCCTGGCCTAGTCGCCTAGGGGCACTTTTTTACGTTTTTTCTTTAATTATTAAATAAGTGTTAGATTGAATTAAAATTTTAAAATAATATTAAAATAAGAAAACTTTTTTTAACGCTTAAGTTCCCATGGGCTGAAGATTGGCTTACACTGGCTTACACGTTTCGTCTCGCTTTACACTTTTTAAAACACTATTCCTAGCATATGCAAAATCCTTGATACACTGAAGTGTGAATGATTAATAGAGAAGTGTTGAATCTTGGGATTAAATGTGGTGATGATCACAATCATAATGTTAAATGTTTAATAATGGATACATAATCTGATGCAAAGAATCGCTCGAACACAAGGATAGACCTAAGATTCTCGTAACAAGGTCCAAACGAATCGTGCTTGGTGTGAATATCCAAATGTGTTCCTAAGTGATAAAGGACTTGATTGTGCTCTCCTACCAGTTGCGGCTCTGCATCATGTTCTTATTCTTTTCTTTGTTATTCTTATTTTTTTTGATGTATAAATAGAGAAAAAAACTTGGCAGTTTAAGAAGATAGATACAGATTGCTAAATCATTGACAAAGAATGAATGTATTTGAAAACAAATCTGAAAATTCTACGACGAAAGTGTGTACTCAAACAAATAATAAATAGGAATTTTTAAGGCTTTTATACCCTACTACAAATGTATACACTTGCATATCCATAAAAGATCCACATACTATTTAGGCTTTCATTCAGTAATCCTGTGTAAGAACTTTCCATGAGATGATGACTGCTGCAACTTGTCTCCTACACAAGCCCATTTTTGCAGATGTCGAAGATCTTGTATTTGCCCTCGAACACAAACTATTTAACTCTGGTTTTTGCAATTCAAACTTGCAACAATATTTTTCAACTATGTATTCTTTGGCAGGCTTCAAGAGCTTTTCTCCATGCTACAGTCCAAAATAAGATAAACACCATCTGATGGCTCACTCAAAACATAGAGAACTGCAAAAGAAGAAAGAAAGAAAGAAACTGAAATACGATGTATATAGAAACCATTAAAGAGAAGAAAAATATACGGCAATATTTTCATTCACAAGAAAAATTCTCATGCTATAAGTAGAAACACGATACTTCACACATTCAGACGATCATTATGAAACGACTCTTAGTAACTTCCTTAAAGAATCAGCAATCTAGCAAATGTAAGCTCAAGTTGATAAATTATGTCCGCCCAAACTATAGCTTAGGTGGCAGCAAAGCACAAATTTAAATTATGTCTGATTCTACCAGGCTTAAGGTGGAGACTGTGAGGAAGAAAGAGATGTAGTATGCACCAATGTCGATTTGCAAATGTTATTATAAACATTACAAGCCAAAGAAGAAGCTTTAGGTATGATGACAACGAGCAATTTACCTGTTTGATTGCATATGGGCATGCAACCACGAAAGCTTTTGTTACAAGTGAACTATGGTTTAGAGATTTGTCTATACGATTTTCACCATTTGCCTGATAAATATTCAGAAACTTGTCTCCTTGTCAGCTTCTAATCCACTTGCAAAACCCTTTTGTTCGCAAAGCTCAGGGAGCTTTCCTACCAAGAGCCAGCCTTTGCATAAGCATTTTTAACGGACCTCAAAAGAATTGTGCATGACAACCAATTTTGCATTCACAGAATTGAGTCGTCCTGAAAAATCCAAACTCTATGCAGATGCATCAGATTATCTTTTAATGGCACGTATATGATCACAAGGTTATGCAATGAAGATCTTTTCAGAAAGAACAGAAAAGGAAGCCTCAGTGCATCTATGCCCCAACCTCCTGAACGACTACAGCAAGCCTCACTAACTCTGTGTATATGTCTTCGCTTTGAGTATGAGATTTGTCATTATAAGAAAAGCAAGAGACGTGACCTTTTATCTCAATCCAGCTACATCCCAATTCTTTCTTTAATTGCTGTTGCTTCAACATAGCTCTAATGCGTGCTGCATCCTTCCACATCCCATGTACAGAATATATATTCGATTGAAGCACATGCATGCTGACATTAGAAGGTTGGGAGCTTAAAAGTTTCCGAGCTATAAAATTGCTTAGTTCAAAGTTTTCGTGGACTCTACAAGCACTAAGTAATGTTTCCCAAGCATATGCTGGAAGATCCACAGGCAATTTCTTGACTAACTCAAAAGCTTCAGCAAGCAAGCCTGATCTACCAAGAAGATCAACCATGGTTGCATAGTGCTCAGGTTTAGGTATCAGATTCCACTGCTCCATTAAACTGAAGTATTCCCAGCCTTCACTGACCAGTCCGGAGTGAGCACAGGCAGTCAAGAGTACAAGAAAAGTAACATGGTCGGGTTGTGATCCAGATTGAATCATGCGAGAAAAAAGAGTAAGGGCTTCTTTAGCAGAATTATGATATGCTTGCGCCACAATCATGGCATTCCATGCTACAGTATCGCGATTCATCATCTTTTCAAATACTGAATAAGCCTCACTTATGAAGCCACATCTAGAATACATGGAAATCAATGAGCATGTTATCATTCTGTCAATTTCATAACCACTCTTGACCACAAAGTTGTGCATCCCTCTTCCGAACATTTGTATCGAATGAACACCACAAACAGATATCACAGTAGATAATGTAACCTGATTCGGCTTAAATCCGTTTTGCAACATCTGGATGTACAAAACCAATGCTTCCTCGCCAAGGTATCCACAAATCAGAGTGTTCCATGATGTTTCATCCTTCCTAGGCATCTCTTCAAAAAAATTGTAAACACTAGTCATATCTTCTTGTTGCACATATCCAAATAGTATTGAATTCCACGAAACTATGTCCCGCACGGGCATCCTAGTAAATAGATCAAGAGCCTCATGGAATTTTCCATTCTCAACAAAGCCAACAAGCATTGAGTTCCATGCAATAACATCCCTATCTGGAATTCTATTGAACAATTCTTGTGCCAACTCAATCTTATTATAATTCAAATAACCCCGAATCATTGCAGTCCAAGACACCACATCCTTCTCGGGCATCTCCTCAAACAATTTCCTAGCTCTCTCTATGTCCCCCACTCTGAAGAAACATTTTATCATACTAGTCCAAGAAGCCGAATCACGTTTGCACATTCTCACAAACAAACCATACGACTCCTCAACACACCCCATTTCACTATAACCTGCCAACATGGCATTACAAAGAAACACGCTTTTATTCAGAGATTCATCAAACAATTTCTTGGCTTCCCTCGTAATTCCATAATGAAAATACCCTTCAATCATTATCGCGAATGAGACATCATTTTTCACTGGCATCACATCAAACAATGCCCTACCCTCCTCCAATCTCCCATTACTTACATACCCAGAAACCAAGGAATTCCAGCAAACCACATTCTTATCTTCAATCGCATCAAACAATCTCCGCGCCTCTTCTAATCTTCCATTCTTTGCGTACCCGCTTAACATTGCGGTCCATGATACTATATTCTTACTTGGCATCAAATCAAAGACTTTACGAGCCTCGCAAACCATCCCATTTTTGGCATACCCTGAAATCATGCAGTTCCAAGTCACTACATTCTTTTGAGGCATTTCATCGAACAGTCTGCGGGCATTCTTCACATCACCTTTCTTGAAATAGCTAGTGATCCTTGAGTTCCAGGGGAATAGTGGGTTTGCTTTTGTACTCAGTTGACGAAGGATATTGTTACCTAAATTTAGGACAATAGATGATCCTAATTTGAAATTTACATACATGAGATTAAAGGTATGCCAAGAAGACAGCTGCTATGAAATGTTGGGCAAAGGAAAGATGAGAAATTTTGACATTCACTTATAAGTAATTATAAGCTTTACCAAACATGTACTATGTAAGTACAATATATGGATTCAGATGATGACGTAACTACTCCTACAATATTAAGTACAATCTTACCAACAAGGATCACTTACCTTTCTTTATTATTTGTCTCGAACACGTGCGATAGTCTTAAATAAAATAAAGATTCATTTCAAAAAATAAATAAAAATAAAATATTGAGTAGCCAACTTCGACTCTTCAAAGAACCCTCGAATTTCTGGCATTCTCACTTTTCAGTTGCACTCTCTGAGGAATCCTCGACTTCTTCTCTCTTTTTACTCCGAAAATGTTGTCTTTGAATCTTTTTCCTTCCTCAAATATCACTTTCTCTAAATCCAGTCATAAGTATCCCATAAATGCTTCACTTTTGGATCCAAATCTTGTGAACAGACACAAAAATCTACAGTTTGCCTTTCATCCATTTAAAAAACCCACTTCGAAAATTAATATTGGAGTGCTATTTAGGCATTCTGAAGAACCCTTGTGCCAGATCTCCAAATCAAGATCAGATTTTGGAAAAATATTGACTACCCCTTTTGGATTTTCTTCAAGATTTTCAACCAGAGCTGCCTCTGGATCCCCACAAGAAGCCAGCCCAGATGGAGAAATTGAAGTTTCAAAGCCAAACAAGAATCTGAAGTTAGCTCTTATTTTTGGTCTATGGTACTTTCAGAACATAGTTTTCAACGTTTATAATAAAAAGGTGTTGAATATTTTCCCATATCCATGGCTTCTTGCATCATTTCAGTTGTTTTGTGGATCTGTTTGGATGTTTATTCTATGGTCTCTAAAGCTTCAGCCTTGCCCCAAAATCAATAAGTCCTTTATTGTTGCACTTCTTGGACCTGCACTTTTCCACACTATAGGCCACATTTCAGCATGTGTTTCATTCTCAAAAGTGGCTGTTTCTTTCACTCATGTAATTAAATCAGCAGAGCCTGTTTTTTCAGTGGTGTTTTCATCTTTTCTTGGTGATTCATATCCATTAAAAGTGTGGCTTTCAATTCTCCCAATTGTTTTTGGTTGCTCATTGGCTGCTGTCACTGAAGTTTCCTTCAATTTTGGAGGACTGTGGGGTGCTATGATAAGCAATGTTGGATTTGTACTTCGAAACATTTACTCGAAAAAGAGTTTGCAGAATTTCAAGGAAGTTGATGGATTGAATTTGTATGGTTGGATTAGTATTATCTCATTGCTCTATCTATTTCCAGTGGCTGTTTTTGTGGAAGGGTCTCAATGGGTTGCAGGGTATGATAAAGCTATTGCAAGTATTGGAAAACCATTGACATTTTACCTATGGGTGATATTATCTGGAGTGTTTTACCATCTCTATAATCAATCGTCATACCAAGCACTCGACGACATTAGCCCGCTTACATTCTCGGTCGGAAACACTATGAAGAGAGTGGTGGTAATCATCGCTACTGTTTTGGTCTTCAGGAATCCGGTTAGGCCATTGAATGCACTTGGATCAGCTATTGCCATATTTGGCACTTTCTTGTATTCACAGGCTACGTCTAAAAAACCGAAAGTTGAGGCGGGTGAAAAGAAGGATTAGAAATATGGTTCTTGTTTATTTCTTGTTATGTTTTTTATAGAACTTGAACTGCTGTCTTTATTCTAGGTAATTTTTTTATGGAAGCTAGAAATTTTGATCTGCAGGATTTCATTTACATATCATTACTTGTGTCCATTTATGATTTTTTTTTTTTTTTTCTGAATCTTCTTTCAAAGTGTTAAATAAATTTTAGGGAAGCCTAGTGTGGAATATAGTTTTCATGTGATTAGAAAGCAGAATTAGCTCGTTGTATGATAAATTGTAGATCACAGAAGTTCAATTGCACAATGTATGTTGAAGATTGAATTATTCCAAATAAGATTCACAAGATCAAGATGCAATATCGATGATGTTGTATAGAAACCTTCTAAGCACATTTTCTAATACGTGCGTATTGGCATCATTGCATCATTTTTTGAAGGATCGCTTTCGAATGCTGAGATTTTGTGACTTGTTCCCATTTAATTAGATTTAAGGTCACTATATAGTTTTACAGCTCAAATGACAAGATTTCTTTGATATCCTTCGGAGTTTGATGGAATAGTTCTCATTCGGTGCTGCTGTTCGGTATGCAGGTTTACTTTTACTTCATTTGCACCCTCTTGTAAGCATATTCAACGCCTTTAAAGTCGTCTAGGATTAGTTGTCAAATCTTGTTTTGCTCGTCTCTAGTGTGCAAACATTATCATTGCCTCTTATATTGATCAATGGAATATGATGGGGAGAATAACATTGGCTGGCAATAGCTCCTCTTTTCTGATCAAGTATTGCTTGTATACATGTTTGCATGTGTGCCCGTCCATGAAAAAAAGGGGCAAATTTATTCTTTCGTTGTAAGAACTTCTCGATTCGAATTTCAATATGCTAATTGTTAGTTGTTACAATTTTTAACATTGTGAGAATTTGTGGGATTTTTGAACATTGTTTGCTTCTTTTAGGTAAAACTAGTTATGGCCGTGCAATGC